ATGGGACTAGAATTACGATAACTCAGTCTAAAGCTGACTTTGATATGCTAAAACAAAACAAAAAACATTAAAAATACCTCAAAATGGTGAAAACATTTTTTTTCCTTTTTATTGTTTTTATCGAGCTATATATTTTTCTCCACCCCCCCCCTCACTTCCTTCCTCTCTCCCCTTCTACCCTCTCCCATGGTCCCCATGTCCCCAGTTTTCTCAGGAGATCTTGTCTTTTTCTATTTCCCATGTAGATTAGATCCATGTATGTCCTCTCTTAGGGTCCTCTTTGTTGTCTAGGTTCTCTGGGATTGTGAATTGTAGGTTGGTTTTTCTTTCTTCGGTCGAGGGGCATTTAGGTTGTTTTCAGGTTTTGGCTATGACAAACAATGCTGCTATGAGCATAGTTAAGCATATGTCTTTGTGGCACGATTGAGCATCCTTTGGATATATACCCAAAAGTGGTATTACTGGGTCTTGAGGTAGGTTGCTTCCTAATTTTCTGAGAAATCGCCAAACTGAATTCCAAAGCAGCCTGCACTTGTACCAGCTTGCAGTCCCACCAGCAATGCAGGAGTGTTCCCTTTACCCCACATCCTCTCCAGCATAAGCTGTCAGCAGTGTTTTTGATCTTGGCCATTCTTACAGGTGTAAGATGGAATCTCAGAATTGAAAATACCATAAATTGTAAATGCTACATCTGAATTTTATTAACAGCCAGGCAGTGGTAACACAGAGCCAGGGCTACACAGAGAAAAAAACAATTTGAGAAAAGTAGAGGGAAAAGAAGACATGAAATATGAAAGACAAAAAAAAAACAATAAATCTAACTACATCGCAATAAACATTAGATATGAATGGACCAACAAAAAGATTAAAAAGTGATTGAAATGAATGAAAAAAATCTATCACATGCTGTTTTCAGGAAGATTGTAGCTTCAAAAACATATCAGACAATAAAACAATGAAATAACAACGTATAATGGTAGCCAGGCCTTAACTGTAGCACTTGAGAGGCAGTGGCAGGTAGATTTCTGAGTCTAAAGTCAGCATGGTCTACAGAGCAAGTTTCTAGGACAGCCAGGGCTACACAGAGAAACCCTATCTCGAAAAACAAAAACAAACAAAAAAGATGTATACAGACTCAGCCACTTTGACAGCTGACTTTCCTTAAATGAGTGAATGGAGTCACCATATGACCCAGAAATCCCGGCAATTCTGCTTTTCAACAGATCCCCAAAAGAAAGAAAAACACAAAAGTTCATGGGTGCTTACAGCTTTATCACCAAGAAACAGAAGATACAGAAAACCCAACATCCATCAATGGGAAAACACAAATTTGGTGCATCCATATAAAGAGACACCATTAGAGACTGATAAGGTGGCTCAGTGGGTAAAGGGCTTGCTCTGTGATCCTGGGGACCTGAGTTTGGATCCCCAAAGCCCACATAAAAGCCAGGCATGGTAACATTGCCTAAAACATAAGAGGTAAAGAGACAGCTGGATCCCTGAGACTTGCTGGCCAGCCGATCAAGCCAAACAGGTTTAGTTAAGGACCCTGACTCAAAAAATAAGGTAAAAAGGACTGTTAAAGAGTATTGTTGCACATCCAGAGAATCAGAATTCCATTCCTAGCACACATGTGAGTAACTCCAGCTTCCAAGGTGTCCTCTCCCAGCCCCGACAGTCACATGCACCATGAGCACATATACACAGACACATAAATAAAAAATTTTTAAAAATGTGGAAATTAATAACTGAAGATACAGACATCAAAATATGCCCTACACATGCACCTATACACATAGGTACACAGACACCATTCATCTGAAGAAAGAAATGAAAGGTTGATCTAAGTCACATCACAGCTGGACTGTGAACGCATGCTAACAGAAAGACAACAGTCACAAAAGACCACACATTACACAATTCCAGTATGTAGAAGCTCTGATCAGGGATATCTGTAGACAGAAAGTAGATCAGTGACAGCCTAGGGCAGGGAAGAGAGGTACTGTGATAGCTAAAGGGTACAGAACTCGAACCCACGGCCTCATGCATAGTGGGCAAATCCGCCATCACTCAGCACTCCACCCCAGCAGGGTAACGGATGTAAGTGTCGGAGTGTAGACACCCTCTCCCCTTAAAAAATGAATTATCTGCAAATGGATGAACTGTTTAGTATGTAAACTATAACCCAATAGGGCTGTTTTAAATTTTTCCATACACATTCTTGCTGAAGCAAGAATCACTTGAGCAGACAATGTGTTTTAGAGACGTGGCATGTGGCCCTGAGTCAGGCACGTGGACACAGAATCACCCCCATGCAGAGATCCACGATGCTTACTTGGTATTCCTGTTTCGGTACTGTGTTTGACCATGCAGAAAGCTCAATAGCATCCTACTCACACCGGCACGTGACACACTGAATTGTTCTGGTCCCATTCTCCCAAACCCGCCTACAACTTTCCCAGCCTGACCATTCCAGGTACCTGGAATTCTCTCTCATTTTTATGTGGGAATCCAGCATGTCCTGATGAACTGGCTCTCTGCCCTGAATCACAGCTTCCTCATTATGCTTGTTTCATGAGCTAGCTAGCTCTGATTCTCCAAGTAGTGAATGCAGATCATACCAAACTAGCACCCCTAAGGAGCTGTACACTGTGTTTTCCAGTGGCACCTTGAGCCTGCCTCAGAACCGTGTGCCGGTCAAAAACAAGCTTCTCCTAATTACAAAGCACACATGCTCTATTTCAGAATTCAGCCCTGCACCTGACATGGTCACTGCCTGCCCTGGCCTCTGCCTCCACTGTTCCGGGGAGCGGACCTAATAGCTACGGACATAAGCCCCAACCACGAGTCAACTACATAATGAACGCATGGCCTTGACAAGTGTCTCAAGCACTCTGCTTCGATTTCTCCAGCTACAGAAAAGAGGCAGTAATGTTCCTGAGGATTATGAGGATTGAGTGACTAATATACATGGAACAGGACGGGCACCATTATCGCCTCTGGCAATTCCGTATTTGTCGACCTTCACTTTCCTGCCCGTCCTCCTACAAAGCCATGGGGACTCTCCTCATTCTCAAGGCTTGTAACAGAGCACCGGGCACAGGACAAGAATACGGAAGGAACCATACATACAGGCGTATGTAAGGAGAGACAGAAAAAATAAGCTTCCGTAGGCCCAGCAGTGTTAGAGATATTAGAAATCCCTTTCAAAACACAAGATGGAATATGTGGAACCGGGTCTGCCCTGGAAAATCCAGGCTGTCTCACTGTCAGAACTCTCTAGAAAGAATCCAATACTCAACAGTTAAGAGTGGTTACATAAACGATAGCAATCAGCACAGGGGATTTTACACAAGCCAACAGAAGGCCTGGGCTAACCCCTGCACCTGAACGGCACACAGAGCAGAAAAACAACATGGGGAAGACTGCAGAGAGCAACAGCCAAGAGGACGGACCATGCCCAACCCTGCACGGGGAAGGCACTGCTACCTTTCCAGTTCCTCTCTCCATGTTAAAGATAATCACATAATCATAAATTACAATTGATGGAGCTTTAAGAAAGAAAACTAGTGTTGCTACTAATACCTAGGAAATGATATCAAAAGCAGAGCGATTCTAAGACAAGACACAGTGGGAAGAGTTGAGTTTCTGTATTACTCAAACTCTGAATAGGTAACTTTCCTGATAATAAAAAAAAAAAAAAACCAACAACAACACTAAAGTACTTTTGTTACAGTGAATTTTCTTAACAGAGAGTCATTTGTTTTATTTATGTCAAGAACAATCATCACTTTGACTCAAGAGTCTTCCTAATTAAGTCCTCTCATTAGGTGCAATCAAAAAACAGAAACAATGCCAGAGAGCCAGCTCAGGGCATGAGGGTGCCTGCCCTCAAACCTAACGACCTGAGTTCAATACCCGGAACCCAAGGCAGGAGGAGTGAGCCAGCTCCCGAAAGCTTCCCCTGACATCAAATTACACCCAGGCGACACACATACGAAATAAATAACTAAGAAAATGTATTTTTTTATTTTAAGCTGAAACCTAGAAAGTATACCCCCAAGAACTTGCCTGTAGCAAATTTTTTACCCATATTTCCCCAGTGCCCCCTAAATTAGAACCCAACTCAGAAAAAAATAAAAAAGTAGGAAAGAATGTTAGACTCACCCACGGCATAAAGCATGTGCTTCTCATGTCCATCTACTTACTGCAAACACATGCACAAAACTACAAGTCAAATGTGTTTAAATGTGTTTTAATGTGTATATGCCCAGAGGGATATGGGACCACTAACACGAGTCTATAGATACAAATGTGTAACAGGAAAAAAATTAGTCATAAAACAATCTTTTCAATTGTCTTCACAGGCCAGAAAGTCCTACAACAGCAGCTTTCAAATACCCCAGGTGATAAAGGCGGGAGGGTTCTAACAATAAATACACAGTCGCTCCAACACTTCTGATCTTCCTACCGTCAAAATCTCTTAAATCAATGTCAGAGAGGAAAAAAAAAAAAGCAAAAAACAATTGCTACCCCTTGACATAATTCTAAAATACAGATAGCAGTTCTAGAGTCTAAACACAATTATCATCTATGAGACTCTTACTATTCCAATCAGAATGTCTCCTCGTTGCCTTCTTTTGCCAAAGGAGCAATCTGTCAGACATGCATTAACTACACGGCACTAAATCAGCATCTTAACTAGTATGCATGTTTCTTGAAGGCCTTGATCATGCCCTTACAAGTGTTTCTATACAATACCCAATATATCAACGCATGTCAAACATTTGGTATAAGTCGTTTTTAAAAGGCAAAAATGTCTGTTATTCAACTTGGCTTTCCAAAGTGTGGTTCTAAGACACCACTGTTTCACTGTTGTGTCGAAAGAAGCCACCAGAAGAAAGAGCGCAACATGTAGGGTTAGGCTACTTTGCTGAAGCGTTTCCACTCGCTCACCAGGTTAGCACAGAGCACTCTGGCCCCGGGGACCTCCTCCTTACCTTTCCCATTTTGCCATGTGGTATACCAGGACAGAGTAAGGAACGAGGTGACAAACGCTAACACCGTGGCCACAGTTCCATTTCGGAGCCTCATCTCATTTCACCATCACACCGGTTCATACGCTCGGGACAACAGCCAGACCAGCCTCTCCTCAGCCACAAGTCAACAGAATCCAGAACGCCTGGTGCTAGTGCAAAAGCAGCAACTGATGGTCGAGTCGCATTTCAGATGCGGGGCAGAGGTGTCGTCGGCAGCAACGCAGTGGGCAAAGCTCGTCCGGATTGTCTTGGCAGGCTGAGGGCTTCTTCTTTTTCTTCTTCTTCCTGTCAGGTAGAGAAAGGAAAACTTGCTAAATAACACAAAGCGGAGGTTTCTCCATTAATAATAATTAATAATAATAATTCAGCAGAAGCAGCAGACTTTTTCAAGGCCACAGTGGATGTGTGGAGAGCACCCCATATAAAAACTATTCATTTCTTATAGCACAATTGTAAGGAAAATTCCAAGAATTCCAAGGAAAAAGGCTTCAAAACTTTATTCACTCCTGGCTGGTTCTGTCCATGAAAAAAAAAATATATGGCTAGATTGAAAGGGAGAAGTTATAGGGTCCAGATTCTCGAAGAGACCTCTTTAACAACTGAGCCTCGAGCTTCATCCCCATTGTTATTCTGCTGCACAATAATAAGCAATGATTTAAAAAAATAACGAAAAACAGGAGAAGGTACAACTATAATGATTAGAAAAGTCAAATGACCTGGATTCCCAATCCAGCTGACATTACTCACGTGCTCCCCACCCCCACGCATGCAGGGTGACTCTTTTCATCCACGAAATAAAGCATCCAGTCCTGACTCCCCCATATTACACAAATCACAAATAGTCTGCAGTTATCAATGCTATTTATCCTCAACTATTTTTTGGGGGGGGGGGAGTAGGGGTTGGCTTTACCAAGACAGGGTTTCTCTGTGTAACAGCTGTCTGTCTGTCCTGGATCTCACTTTGTGGACCAACTGGCCTTGAACTCAGAGATCCGTCTGCCTCTGCCTCCTGAGTGCATATCCTCATCTTATGTTTTAAAGAGAAAGCTGGAAATATTTATGCATGCAGAAAAGGTAGCAATCCAGCCCACACTGTCTCAGCAATGGCCCATCCCAGCATGTTGCTCTCTCGGGAAATTGGGATGATCATGACTTATCTAACTAAATTTCTGAAGAACTGAAAAGAAATGAGGTTGTTAAACATACTTAAGCATAATGCCCAGCACAAAATAAGTTTTCAACAAGTATCAACTGTATCAAAAAGAAAAGCAAGCCAACAAATGCAGCCAGCCACTGTGCTGTCCACTCTACGCATAACCGGCCTCATCCCCTAGGGGCATGTCAGGCCATCTGAGATGTACGCTGATTTCTAGTGGCATCCATGGGGCAGCACCACAAGATGTTCTTGGTGATACACTAAATGACCCTTGCAGGGGGTAAGTGAATGCACCCCCCAAAACAACACAGGAACCCAAGAGACAAACCTCTCGGTGGAAGGGCATGCCTGATTAAAGCAGCCATTTGCAGGCAATTCACAAACTACCACCTCAGCTATTTCTCAGCACAACAAATCACTGGAAATCTCTACTAGCCAAGAAAGACCACAGGGATAATGACAAAGATTGATGGTGATGATAGCCGCTGGAATTCACTGGCTTCTTCCTTCATTCTGGGCCCATTACGTGGCTTAAACCTTCACTAAGTCCTCACGGGGCAAGCAGTGCAAACCCTATTTTCCCACAAGGAAAGAAACCCCATTTTGAATAACTTCTAAGTTCAAAGTCTCTTTTTTGTTGTGGTTGTTGTTGTTGTTGTTTTTCGAGACAAGGTTTCTCCGTGTAAAGCTCTGGCTGTCCTGGAACTCACGCTGTAGACCAGGTTGGCCTCGAACTCAGAGATCTGCCTGCCTGTGCTGGGATTAACCACCACGGTCCAGCTAAATTAAAGTTATCTGCCACTTTCTGTTCCACAGACTGATCATTTACACCACAGCAGGGTAGGGAGTCTCCAGGATACTCTACAGCTCAAAAGGAACGGGAGAGTTTTCTGAGTGTTAACTTGATTCAACAGAAAATGCAGATTAAAAAAAAAAAAAGTTTTCTGCTCTATAGGTAGCACAAATCTGTGACAGTATAAATTGCAAAATGCACAGAAAATTTCGCAGTCCAAACATGCAACTTTAAACAAGTTTCCCACTTCCTGTAGCCTTTGGCTAATCCCCTCACTCCTGAGTCCCCAACAAAGCAAGCCTGTTAGTCTCTCTGGCCAGTAGCTCTAATTTCCACATAACATTCTAGATACACCGCATTCCACTGCATCGCTTCCTGTGAGTGCAGGAGCACGGGGTGTTCCAAGGAGGTTCTCCAAGTTACCCTTGCTAAAGCCAAATGATCCCATGGTTAACCTAACTTTATCACAACTATACCCATGCCGATTGCTTACAATCAAAATCCTCATGGGGAAAAAAAAAATCCAATAATTTTAAATTCCACAAAGTACCTAATCTATTCACTCAATAAAGCATTCAATAATGACTTCTGATTATAAAATCAGGGCAGTTTCTCAGTAAAGTGTACAACTTGTAATTTTAAGTCTGGTATGACATTATACAAACATGTTTTTCATTTTCTGTACATATATAATGTAGCCATATTTTGCTTCTGAAAAGATTTTGTTCTAGAAAAAAAAATCTCGTAATTAGAAAATATTCAGCTGACATACCTCATGAAACAGAGACATGCAAAATCAAAAATGATAGTTTAAAAGATTTTTATTAAGCCAGGTGGTAGTGGCACACACCTTTAATTCCAGCATTCAAGAGGCAGAGATAGGCCACTCTGAGTTTGAGGCCAGGCTGGTCTAGAGAGTGAGTTCCAGGACAGTCAAGGTTACATAGGGAAACCTTGTCTCGAAAAAAACCTCCCTACCCCCCCCCCCCCCCCCCGTAAAAAGTTTTTGTTAAATACAAATGAAGCCTATATAAATGCATAAAAGCAGGTAGACAAAATGAATTCTAACGCCAAAGTATACTATAGATAGACCACCCATAACACCTAAAAAGCACATGGAACATTAAATAAATAATGGACCTAAGAAGTTAGTAAACTCTTGTTGGGAAATGATACTTAGAATGAATTTTACTAATACGTTCTGACAGCTCACAAGAAAAAAAAAAAACGAGTGTTCTACTCCACAGGAATGCAGCTATACATTTTAAATCAGGGTTCCCAAACTAAGCTTCACTTAGGCACAAGTGAATGAAATCTCCAGGGGGGAGCAAACAGAATGAGCCTGGAGCCCTTAAAACACCCCAGGCAGCTGTGCAGCGGGCTCATTAAGACACAGGTGACCTACATTTGCATTAGCAGCCACTTATGTGAACACCTAAATATCACCATCACCTTAGCACTGTCCCAATCACTTAACACAGCTTGATCTTTAAACAAAAAGGTAATGGCTACAGTTACTGCTCGCCATTCCTTCATCCTCCCAAAGACAAGTGCAACTTTCAACTCCAGACCTCAGAACAAGAAATGTTTTATTCCAAGATTTAACAATCTTTCATCTTAAAAAGAGGGGGGGGTACCAGCAATGTAAGAATTAAGTTTTTAAAGTGTTCTCTGAAATATCCCATATGTTCCATGGATGAGAACACTTTGCTTAACATTTGGCATATTCCTTAATCAGCATCCCCCAGACAAAACAGAGGTGCCTGAAAGAATAAATGGCACGATTCATGACACCCCGGATCAATGAACACCATGACGTAAGCCTGCACAACTTTATAAACCACAATTATGAAAAACGCATGCCTTTTCCACTTTCAGGGCATAAATATTTCTTTTATACAGCTTACATAATGTCATCGTCTAGTATATCTCAGGGCTTACAGTTAGGGGTTAAAGGAACCTATGTCACCATAACCTGTTAGTAAAACTATTCTTTAAGCATTTGGAAGAGAAAGGATCCTGAACCACAAAGCGCGTGTTACTTGATTCTAAATTTAATTTTTTTTTGATTCAAGTGAACAACTGTGTCATTCTTTATCTTTTATCAAATAATTTGTCGGGCAGCAAAAGCACAACAGCAAAATAGATGGCAGGCACGACGAAGATAGCATAGTATCTACTGCTATTTCCTAATTCCTACAGTAAGCCCCGGGAACGCGCTCCCGGGATCGCAAGGCTTCGAGAAATAAGAGCGGGCGCGGGAAGCGTACAGCTGCCAACACTTAACGCCATGCTTTCCAGTTATCACCTGGCACACCTGGAGAGCTCCGAGACCCCACCTGGGGGTGCACGGGGTCGGGGGGGAGAGGGGTCCCACTCGCCGTTTCCTTGAGATGGAGGAAACCCAGGCCTGGGAGGAGGCAGGGGCTCGCTTCTCTGGTATCTCAGGCACATCTTCGTCCCCCGCCGGCAAGCGGCCCCCGCCCTACCTGCCCCACGGCGGCGGCGCCACCACCAGCCCTCCAGCCCTCCAGTCCTCCAGCCGTGGGGTCCTGCCCGCAACTCTTGTCCCCGCTGCACGCGCACACTCCACTGCACTTTCCCCCCCTCTGAAGTCCCGGAGCTCCGGCGCCGCACGAGGCTCCAGGCCGGCCACCCGGAGGGAGAGCGGAACCGAGGGGCGGCTGCGGCGGCGACGATGCGCTGAGGGCGCCCGGCCCGCGCCCCGTTCGGAGGCCCCGTGTGCGCAACCAGACGCCGGTCTCGGGACGCACCGGCTCCACTGCCAGCAGGTGGGACCTCCGCGGACCCTGCCGCGTCCTGCCTGTCCGCCCCCAGCCCGGAGCCCCGCGCTCCTCACCTGCCGCGAGCCAGGGCGCTTCTGCCGCGGCCGCCGGCGACGCTGCTGGAGCCGCCTCCGCCGCCGCCGGCCGCGCGCCCCGCCCTCGACAGGGCCCGCCCCCGACAGTCCCCGCCCCAGTCTCCACCAGCCATTGGCCGACACGGCCCCAAGCGAGCCGCTTCCGCTGCTATTGGCCCTCCGGCCTGTCACTTAGAGGCGCAATCGAGCAGCCTATATATTTCTCCCCAGCCCTTTTCCCCTGCATCAGTGTCGCGGTCCGGGCTGGAGTGCAGACGCCACATCTGGCCTGCACCTTCTGGTCTGAGTGCATGCAGCCCCAGTAGCCAACAAAGGCCCCAGTGAGCCCTCGGCGCGCAACCTGGCTACCATGGCCTTTCCACCTAGCTCTGGGTTCCATCTCCTGGCGGTCCAGGCTCGGTGACAGGTGCTGGCTTTAATCCAACCACAGTTTCTAGGGCCCACCATTCCAAACATCTCACTGTCAGCCCCAATGAAAAGCATCGCTATCCCCATTTCCCAGGAGGAGGCAGAGCTGCGGAGAGGACTCTCTGGAGCAAATAGAAACAAGAAATATGACTAGGATTTAAATACACTCTATTCAGTGCCAATGTCCCTGATTTTTCCACTATGCAGTGCCTTTCCTTCTCTCTTGAGCACATGTCTTATCACCAGTTCTTAAAGTTTAAGGTTGGCCTCAAACCCAAATAGATGAACATCTATAGAAAGCTTGAGTGAGTAGCCTGTCCCTTTGGTTAATAATTAACTAACCTTTTGCATATAATTTTTTAGATATTTACCCTATACCAAGCCCCGTAAGTGTTAAGATCTTTAATTGCATCTTATCATATGTTAATTCCCATTTCTCATGTCTGAGCTCAAAGGTTAAAGTGTTTGCCCACGTTATCCTTAAGATAAGATAAAGGATGTGTTATCCTTACTGTCTCCATAATCCTCCCACCCACCCTGCAAACATTTACAAGATATCAAAGGACCACAGAACAAGGAGACAGCCTTGTTCGGGCCAAACCCTGGGGTAATAAACAGACTCTTATCGGGATACAGTAATTCAAAAATGGAGAACTCTAATATTTTAGACAACGTCAGAGGGAGGGATTTTTGTTTAAGAAAAAAATCTCTATTTTTGTCTTAAAATCAGTCATTGATAATTAGCTATTATATTTATAGTTTCTTATCAAATCTTCTGTAGCAAGATTTCTTCTCTCCATCATTCCTGGACTGTTTTAAAGATTCAAAAAGAGACTCCCTCTTCCCCAGGCTCCACACGAGTTTAGAGGAAGTGCACAGAGTCACTGTGGACACAGCTGGAGCCTGAGGGAAATGATACCCAGTGGCAACTTGGCTTTCTACTTGGGGGGGAAATGGAGCTAAACTCTCTGTCTGCTATGACAGAAGTACTGCCCTTTAGTCACCCGGCAAGAGACCTCATGGTAGACACAAGCAAGAAAGATGGAGCCCATACCAGATGCAATGTTTGAAACACGGCTGGGTTGAATTACTAAAATTATTTTGTAAGCACAGACAGGTCTTGCTATCCAGGGCTCTGAATAACAGATCAGCCCACCGCTTCCTGCAGAGGAAGAAACGATTGCCATTTGACAGGAAAGCAAGCTGTTTTGTAGGATCATCTAAAAGCCTGAGCAGCACAGCCGGCCATTCTCCTGATATATCCCTGCTTTGTGTACAGCCAACCTTGGGAATTTGGCAGACGTGAGTAGTCATTTAGGCAACTAACAATGATTGGATCAGAATCTCCTTGATTCCAGAGCCTTCTAGCACTCCGTCTCTCCACTTGCATCTTCAGCACTGACAAGCTTTATGATGACCGGATGAATATTAAGACACATTTCCGCTGTCCTTATTCCTTTCCTTCTTGGTAAATGAAGGAAATGAAAGTGTCCGCAGACATTTTCTAAGCAGAGACAAGTATCAGATGAGAAAGGGAAACGGGATAGATGTGTTGTGGTTACGGAGTGGTACATTCAGGAAGACTATATATATTCAGACAACCTCCCTGGACTCTGGTTAGTGGAGAAACATCAGAAGCCAACAGAAACAAGACAACGTCCACCCTTTGAGGACCTTTTCTAATTGTTTTGTACATTTATTTCGTGTGGTCACGTGTGCATCACAGTACTGCACGGCACTCACGTAGAGGACAGAGGTCTAGTTGCGGAGTCCGGGTTGCTGGGAATTAGGCATTGAACTCAGGAGGTCAGGCTTGGCAGCAGGTGCTTTTAATGGCACAACCATAAAAAGCCCAAGAGGGGAGGTGTGCCTTTTTTCATACTTTGCTGCCTTTCTAGCAGAATGAGAACAGTTTTTCTAAGAAAGAGTGGAGAATTTGCCATGATTAAATGTGTCTCAAACTAGTCACATTATTTCAGAGGAAAGTGCAGCTTTCGGTGAGTTGAACTAAGACATGGGAATAGTGAGGAATATGCCTCCTAGGTGTGAGTTAGAACCCATGATCGAGTCAGCTCTGTTTTGCAGCATTCATCACAATCTTGAATTTTCCAGCTAGGTCCAACTGCTTGGCATCACTTTAATAGCCACTCTTAAGTAACGAAAGTTTGCTTGCGTGCATGAAGGGAGAGGATGGAAAGCAAACACCCACCCCGGGTTCCGCTTCTTGGAAAATGATTAACTGGGTTTGAAAGATCGCTTTAATTGCTAAGGCATGGTGGCCCATATCTATAATCCAAGCACTCAGGAGGTTGAGGCGGGAGGATTACAAATTCAGGCCAGCTTCGGTTACACAGCAAGTTTGAGACCAGCTTGACCTACGCGAGACTCCTGCGAGACTCTGTCTCAACAAAACAAATCAGTCACAACAGAAGAACCCCCACCACGACCTGTGGAATTAACAGTTAAAGGCAGTTAGTCCGATCCTGAGTCTGATCAATTTCTGCTTGTTTTTTCTTCTAATCTCTTCATAGTGACTGTCCCTCTCTCTCGCTGCTTTTTCATAACTTTTCTAGTTCCGTGGTTTCTCCTTTTGCCTTCACACTGTCAGTAAAATTGGAGCCAAGAAATTCAGCCTATAACTTCAACATTCTATAATCCAAGGGTCCTCAACGTTCCTAGTGCTGTGACCCTTTAATACAGTCCCTCACGGTGTAGGGACCCCCCAACCATAAAATTATTTTTGTTGCTACTTCACAACTTGCTACTGTTAGGCGACCCCTATAGAAAGGGGGTCCCGACCCACAGGTTGAGAGTTGCTGCTGCCGTAGTCTGTCCCTGACAAAGCTGCTGAGCCATGGCTGTTCTTTACAAAAATGTTCACTCTCCCAGAGTCATCCGCCTGTCCCCCGCTTCCCCCCCCTCTCACAAGGGCCTATGATTACAGAGGCAGCTGGTGCCTCCCCACAGCGTCTCACAGACTAGCGAGAGACTTGGATAAGTAATTAAACTCTGGGCAAAGCGCAGGAGCTGGGCAGCGATAGCAGGAGGCCATTAATCAGATTCTCGGGGCAGGGAAGGCTTCCTGGAAGTGACATTCAAGCTAAAAGCAGACTACACACAGGAAGCGAATCTTTTCCTTTTATCTCTTTGATGGTGAGTGTTTGGCAGAAGGTCTTTCATGCGCTAATCAGTTCCCAAGAAATCAAGCGCAATATTGCCAGGCTGTTTTGTTTTTGTTTTTGTTCTTGTTTTTTCCCCCCACCCCATCCCTCCCTGTGTTAGCAATCAGACCGGTTGCGGTTTATACGTGGTTATACACGGAATCCTGGCGTCTGGAGTTGGGTCCGTGCTCAGTATATGGGCTTGAAGAGGAGTCACATCTGGAGAGTCTGCATAGCTTTCTCAAACGCTATACGTAGGGTATGCCTTGTTTTAATGGGGAGACAGTGAGGATGCTGCTTTTCTCTACATTTGGCACCCTCCTTCCATGAGCTACAGCTCTCTATGGGGTCATGTAACTGAATATTGGGACCGTGACACTCTGGTAATAGCAAGGGGCTTTTGCACACATGAAGACCAAACATGAATTCAAAATCAAGCATGCGGGAACCTGAAGTGTTTGTGACAGCACCTGACTCTTTTACACATGGGGTTCACTGCAGCCTTGGTTCTGAGCACACATCACCTGTGCCCGCTATCACTCACACAATGCCTGCAACACCTCAGTTCAGACTTGTGTCTACTGTATGCTCGGCTTGCAGGGTACAACGTACAAAGTTGTCTGCTCTTATAGAAACATGATGCTTTAATTATGGAAAACAACGGCATTTAATATTTCCCTACTGCTGTTCCTCGGCTTGTGAACATTACATTAGTATGTCTTTGGTTTATATGGTGTTCATGTGTTTGATTTTAAAACTTGTTACCTGAGCCAGTCACGGTGGCGTTTAAACCCAACACTCAGGAGGCAGAAGCTGAAGCAGGCAGATATCTTTGGGTTTTGAGTTCGAGACCCGCCTGGTCTGCACAGTGAGTACCAAGTTAGCCCTGCTGTCTCAAAACAGCAAAAAGTTGCTGCTTAAGTTGATGACTTGAATTTCATTGAAAAAAAATCATTAAATGATATTTTGGCTGGGGATTAGGAAAGAATTTCCAACAATTTCTGAGATGGCCCTAAGCTTCCTTATGCCATTTTGTACTATGTGTTTATGCAAACCAGTGTTCTCAACATTTCTGATTATAAAATCAAAATATCAATCAACTGTGAAAAACATTGAAGATGTTCCATATCCTGCAGCTATCCTGCAGCATCAAATATTCAGCCAAGACTTAATTCTTTATATGAAAATAAACAAGCACATTCATCTCATTAGTATTCAAATTTGCTTTTGTCTTTAATTAATGTTGCAAATAAATGTATAGCAAAGACTTGTTTTAAAATAAATTTCTTTGTAACTTATTGTCAATAAATGTTTGGCTTATATGTGTATTTCATATACCTATATACACAGTGTCATATAAAAATTTCTCAGGTGAAAGGAATTCTAAAGTGGAAAATTTTAGGAAACCATAATCTCGTGGACCTGGGATCACCTGGGACATGAGAGTCTAGTAACCCACCTGGACTAACTGGTGCA